AGAAATGCACTTTCTCAAATTCATTGTAATTCAATAAAATTCAAAAAATAATTCCTACAGAAGAGTATCTCCATAAAGAAAAAAATTGCATTTATTATTTGCTTGATCATTAGACTTGCATACATGTATAAGCAACCATGGACAAAAATGTGATTTACATAAGCACATGTGCTAATAATTGTAGATGAAACCTTCCTCAGACAAGCACATCACAAGGACTGACCCTGTCTTTAGTAAAGTGACATTTCAAATACGATAATGACAATAATGCTCTTAGTCATAATTATCGTTACTGTCAGGCCCTTTATTGAATTGATTTCAAAAATTATTACTTTTTGATATAAATATCAATATTTATATTATACATAATAATATCGTATATGTATATTGGTGTTTTACCTGAAGTTACCCCGGTACAAGTATATGACTATTATTTTTAGAAGAATAATTATTAATAGAATTAAAGTCTGTCTCTGACATGATGCAAGCATTGACACCCACCATACACGTCACCACACCCATCACCACACCCGCCACACCATCATCACCGTCACTACACCCATCACCACACTCGCCACACCATCACCACTGTCACCACACCCATCACCACACTCGCCACACCATCATCACCGTCACCACACCCATCACCACACCCGCCACACCATCATCACCGTCACCACATCCATCACCACACTCGCCACACCATCACCACTGTCACCACACCCATCACCACTGTCACCACACCCACTACACCCATCACCACTGTCACCACACCCACTACACCCATCACCACTGTCACCACACCCACTACACTCATCACCACTGTCACCACACCCACTACACTCATCACCACTGTCACCACACCCACTACACCCATCACCACTGTCACCACACCCACTACACCCATCACCACTGTCACCACACCCACTACACCCGTCACCTACTCCAGGACATACATGTATGTGTATTCATTACTGTATACAGCTTAATTACTAGGTGAGTTTTGTTTTTAAATTAGTAGTCTTAAATTTAAACTCAGCGAGTGTACAAAGTTAACAACAGAATATATTTTTTCCTTCACAAACCAGTGAATTAAAACCTAATTAGTGAATGTTCTTACAACATCAAATCCACTAAAATTGAACCCAGTGAATATTTCCTCCCATTACGATAACACAATATCCCTAGATACTGAAATACATGTGATTTAAGGTTGCCTTGTCATATAAGAAATGAATCATGAGCTTAGATGGATGCAGATATTGGTACATTATGATGGAAACACTCAATAACTTCAGCCAAATCAAACAACACAAACGATAACACAAATCTGGTGTTTCCAATAATGGTCTAAAATTTTTTTTTATTTTATTTATTTATTTATTTCATTAGGTTTTTGTGAGAAATCATTCCTTAATACAAGTAAGTGCTAGTCATTCATTACATTGAAGGAAGTACAAGAAATCAAACAATACAACATTGGTGGAATGACTATAGCTAATTTGCATAGAAATAAATAAATATGAGCTCATTTGCATCAAATGAATTTTCTGATTTCCTCCTTCAAAATGAGTGGGTAGGTTTACTAGAAACACAGGATATATTTTATTTGGCCTTATTTAAAACAGTTACAGTGGTTTCCCGTTACAAAAGAAATAGAGATTTCTAACATGCCATCAACATAGCAAAAATTCATACATTGAAACTAGTGATCATATAAATGAATCTAGCAGTAATTATTTTGATATTTAACACGAATCATGGAATCCACAATTTGCATAACTCAAAACAGTATAAAGACAATCATGGGATGTCACGATTTCTTTTATATGCCTCCATTTGAAGCCACCTACTGGTTTCCTATTGGACCAACCCAAACGTCCACTCACAACACCCCTATACATACAAATGTAAACACCTTATATACAGAACACTATAGTCCTATTACCAGTACCGTACAAAAGATTAGTTAATATCTTAATACCAGATTAATTAATAGTGTCAACAGTGTAACAATAGTTGTGTTCACATTATGCGAAGTACGGGCTAAGATTTAAGCTGATTTAGGCTTATCTAGCATATTTGCATTTCGGCTAGACCCAATTGCGTCCACGCACAGGGAGGGCCAGTCGTTAGCACGGGCTAAGGGGTGCCATTAGTCGGTGACCTTTGGTAAGCCGCTATTCACGAGCGAAAAATGGATAACAGGCGCGAGGTTCTATTTCTGCTGCTGACATGTTTCGTTCTAATTTTGAAGCGACGTGCACAGGAACGCGAGAGAAGACGGACCCAACTTATTTGGATGCACATAAACAGTATACAACGATCGTAACAGAATACAGAGTTTTATTAATGCATGTCGTAGACAGCGAACCAAATTTATTTTGTCTACGATTGGAGCTGGCTGCTGTACGCTCTACTACAGTGACCCGATTAGTGTGGAAGCGAGCGCGGAGTAATGACTGGTGGAATATTGTCGTTATACGAACATGGGACAATTTTCACACCCAAAGGTCGCCGCAGAGGGCGCTTAGCCCTGGGCTAAGCATTCGCGCATACTTCGTTAGCCCGTGCTAAGGTCTAGACCGCGTCTTAAATTCGGATCAGATTTAACCCGTACTTAGCATTCCTTAGCCCGTGCTAAGCGTTCACGCACGTTTTCTTAGCACGGGCTAAGGAATTTGACCTCTTAGCCCGTGCTAAGGAGCTGTGCGTGAACGCAACTAATCATATCCAACAATAGGACTGATCATGTACAACCCCTATATGAGGTCACACATTCTGCCACTTTCATTTCTATCGTTTTCCTGTGACAGTACGAAGTTCCCGAAAATATACTTCAATATTTGCCAAATAGTATTGTTTTTAAACGTTTCGACATGAAAATTAACTTTTGTCATCTTTTACAAATTAAGCCCACAAATTTTGGGTCCATATTTTTTCCAAAAATGTTGATCAAAAATTCTAGTAAATGAGGAATTATGTCTATTTGATGCAAAATTAACAAAAAAAATATTGGAAAATACTGAAAATTATGAAAAATGTAACAAATTTTGGTGACAGACTTCAATGACAACTTCTCATATTTTGTTGGAACAATAATCAAGAAATTGTTATTGATAGTAAGCACCCTTCCGTTTCCAACCCTCCCTAATTTCATGTGTATATTCAGTTAGTTGGAGAAGCATATACAATTACATTGAAGGGATGGACTGTTAGGGTTAATGTTTAGGATAGGAGTCAGGGGGGTTCTTTAAGGAACTCTTTCTGTGAACAATTATTTGAAACAGGAATCTGGGATCTAATTACAGATGGGTCACCATGTAAACACCCCAGTAAGGTCAAAGTACATATACATGTGGTTATTTTCATTTAAAAATGAAAACAAAAATATGTACACATCCACAGGTAAAGTGGGTCATGGACTTACAAGTACCTACAAATCAACACAGTGTCACAGTAGTCACAACATTCCCTCTGATAGAGGAACTGTATAGCAACAAACCAATACCAGAATTCCAGATTGCATCAATATATAGCTTTGTATGATTCAGTAAATATTTTATGGAAACATCAGTTTAGAAAATCAATATCAAAGATGTATACAGCATCCTTAAGTTGAACTGAGGCCTGAAAAACTCAAGGTTAACTAATCTACAATTCAGGATCTTTTAGTACATACTCTTACACAATTATAAGCACTCCTAACTCCAGTTGAAGGAGTGGGTGGGAAATAAATCTACAGACACATTTTACCTCAGTTATGTCATGGTTTTCCCACTTACTTTCACATTTCACCACAGCCTACCCACACTTTTGGTTTCAGTAACAAACATGGGAGGCTAGAGAATAATAAAATGAAATTCTTCGCCATCGATTCTCAATAAACCTACTCCAATATTTCAGAAAAGAACAATGATATGATATTTTGTATTTGTTGGTTGAGACTGCTGGTAATTTAAGATTTTGTCTTGTCTCATTCTGAAACAAGAGTGAATAAATTTTTATTATTTTTACATTTTAGCGCAACTTTGAGCATCCATTGTCGATCATAGAGTTGATTTTGCTAAAGTCAATATTTTTAAGCATGCGTTCTCAACTATCCTTGAAGAGGTTGCAAATTGAGAAGGAAATGTTTTTAATTTTTCATTTTCTCCATATTCTCAATGTAATAGACAGCAAACATAAATGCCAAAATGGATTCGTCAACCATCTTCCATTAATTATTCAAATGTACAATATTACAAGAGAATAGTAAAGAAACAAAACTTCCAAGTCAAGGTTGACACACCTGCCCAACCCAGCAGGAACATGCATCGTTACAAACAAAAACTACCGATATATACGGATAGTTGACTCATTTCATTTCACTTCCTTCCTCAAGCAATAACGTAACAAAACTACTTGCACGATTTGAACTGACGTTCACTGTTAAAACTTGTACGTTGTTGTGAATTAAGTTTATAGTAGGTACGATGGGGGATTAAAATGAGAGGAGTTATTTAGTTGTTATTGTCATTAGTGGTAATTGACACGGCACATCCAAGTGAATTTAATACGTAATAACTCACGATTATTATGACATATCGAACGCCATAGATAGGCTGAATCAAATTACAGACCGTCACTGACGCTGTCTTATCATGTCTCGGTTTAATGGCATTGATTCAATGGTGTCACTGTTATTGAAGGACGCCGAGAAGACCTGCAAATGCAACTTCAGTGATCAAGCACCCGGTTCGACGGGAACAAGCGATTTTCTAACCGCTTAAAAATACCGATAACTTGATTATAGTTTAAGTTCGTGTAGATGCGGTAGAATTATCGTTTACATTGAAACATGCACCAAGCACTGAGCTGGTTGTCTGCCATACCCTCATAACTTATGGAACAGTTTGATTTCGAATTGAAACACACGCGTCTAAGCAGCTTGCCCGAGCAGCTAAAATGCTCGAAAATTAGATCTCTCCTTTAAGTATTTTATTCGATAGTAGACTTACCCAAAGATCGATTCCCCAACTCATGTCTGATCTTCGTACGGGCAAAAAAACCCTGTCAGATTTTTAAAAAACACGAATATCCAGTTATCCGGAAGGAGGAACGGCACGGAAAACAAAATGGAGTACGCGAGTATATTGTAATTACAGTATCTTACCGCGTTGCATTGTGGTAGCACTACAGTTTGTTAACCTCAGTATTTAAATTTGAAGGTTTCCGTACAATTTCGAATAAAACAATGCATTAAATATATATATACCAGGTATGTATAGTTTTGTTTTTCGCCAGTGAACAGGGGTAAAAATATAACGCATATATTAATTTATTATTCACAAATTTAAATGAAAAGCATAATCGATAATGTGTCTAACAACTTGTACAACAACAGATGGTTGAGTGAATGTCGTCACGAGCTATTTGCCATTTCCAATGTTGTTGGAGAACAGGCGTGGTAGCTTTTTATTGCTATTGTTTACATGTCTATCTCTTATATTGTTTTATAATCAATTTGACAACGATACGCGCAGTTAGTCTCTAATAATATATTTTTTGCATTTACAAACACATTTAAAGGGCGGTGGTCGTCGCGCAGCGCGTGCTCGAATTTCATGTAAACAAACAATGTATTTTACACGCGTTGTGCACGTCGCTGTGAGTGGCATATCGAACAGAACGCGACGCGATGACCACCTCCCTTTAATTGGTTGAATATGTGGAGTGGTGGCAGATACACAGATAAATTCCGGATTTGAGGGGGGGTCGTATGTTTTCGTTTCGTATTCCTCACATATGGTAAACCGGCGATGATACGCCATGCGGGTGATGGGGCATAATGTCGTGAGGTATAAAGGTGAGGGTATAGTACAAGTTTTACCCACTGACATCACGCAATTGGAATCACTGAATTCGAAGAAACAAATTACGCGATATTATGATGACGTAGCAAAGTAACAACCAATAACAAGTCAGAATTTTGAAATGTCAACTTCAACAGAACCAGAATTTCGAGAGAGCGGAGCTGTAGAAACCCTCCATCCTTGTCAAGAAAGTCAAGCCATCTCTATATAATACATCGGTAGATTGGACATCAATGGTAACGACATGTCCCGTTCTGAATATTGTTGAAATAATCACAGTCTAGTATTAATATTTCATATTACAACGGAATGATGACAAATTCGTTTAGGTGTTTTACTTACAGTGCAGATGGGAGGTGAATGGCGGACGGTGTAGTCCAGAATCACGTCCGTTTTTGAAGAAGGTGGCATTTTATTATGCGGTACATCGTGATATTAGGAGATGAGCTCAGAGATGAGATGAGCAATCAATTGTTTTTATTTTCGTAATAATGTAATTTAAATAAATAAAAAATGTAAATTCGTAGACACGAGCAAGGTGTAAAATGTAATCTGCTATTTTATTCGTCCGTAATTTGTACAAAGATTTTTTTCTGTAAGCGTATTTTCCATTTTCCACGTTAAATGTTGTAATTCGTACGCAATTTCCAATTTTGATTCTTATCAAATATATTGAAAAATGTAATTAGGGTATTGCTTTATCTGTAAAATGTAAAAACCTAATTGTTACTGTAAATGGTACTTTCATTTTATTTCCTGTAAAAATGTAAAATGACCTTTTTTATTCTCTGTAACATGTACCAGCTACACCCCCCTTGCCCCCGAGTGGTTTTGCCCCGGGGGTTTTGCAACAGTAGGCGTGGTTTCTAGAACATGGGCGTGGTCATTGTTGTAACTCGAACAATTAAACATCTCGAACCTATTATTTCTTAAATAAAGGCAGCGAAATATCTCAGAAAAATGACTGTTCTGTTACCCACGAAACTTGTATGCGGCTATTATCGTGAATACACTTCCACGCAATCCACGAGGCGTGAACGGCACGAGGACGCCGCCAGCGACCGAATACGTTTGTCGATAAGTATTGAGACGAAAATATAATTGCCTTTTTATCTTTGTCTATTGTTATATAATTTATTAATTTATGATGGAAAGAAATGAATTTAACAAAGTACGTGTTCCTGTACCACCGAATCTATTACAGCCTGTTGATCTGTGAATGCATCATGTAAGCAAAAACAGACGCAGTCACGTGATCTTAGGCGTTATACATCTCTACATTCTAGTGTCTTGGAAAGTGTTGTCGTAGACTTGTATTTCAAATAATTATTTTATTTCAGGGTAAAATATATATTTTTTAGTCACAAATCAAAGCAAGAAAAAAAATGAAAGACTGCAGACAATGCTAAATTTAGACTGAATCTACTCATGTTTTGTCCGAATTTGACAAATATTTGGAAGTAGGCAATTTATTTTTTTCATACATCGATTTGGCTGTTATGGTAATAACTTCATTCCAATCGAACATTCCATGTGTAATGATGTTGAAGGATGTTGTGACCATGTAACATAAATTAATTCAAGACAGTAATAATGCATCAGTGTTTGAATGTTGAAATAACATGAAAGTTTAGGATCAAAATGATTTGTTTATGCATTGCAAAATTTATTTAGATTTTACAAAAAAGTACATTAACAATGTACAATGCGATACGTGAAAAGGAAGCATCTCCAAATGATTTTATTTACAGGTTGAACAAATTGAGAAGATAATGAGGTAAGTTTTTCAGTAACTTAGGGTATCAGAGCATAATGGAAAGTTTTTCAGTAATTTTGGGTCTACAGCATAATGGTAAGTTTTTCAGTAACTTAGGATCTCAGAGCATAATGGAAAGTGTTTCAGTAACTTAGGGTCTCAGAGCATAATGTTTTTCAGTAACTTAGGGTCTCAGAGCATAACGGCAAGTTTTTCAGTAACTTAAGGTCTCAGAGCATAATGTTTTTCAGTAACTTAGGATCTCAGAGCATAACGGTAAGTTTTTCAGTAACTTAGGGTCTCAGAGCATAATGGTGAGTTTTTCAGTAACTTAAGGTCTCAGAGCATAATGTTTTTCAGTAACTTAGGGTCTCAGAGCATGATGGTGAGTTTTTCAGTAACTTAGGGTCTCAGAGCATAATGGAAAGTTTTTCAGTAACTTAGGATCTCAGAGCATAACGGTAAGTTTTTCAGTAACTTAGGGTCTCAGAGCATAATGGTAAGTTTTTCAGTAACTTAGGGTCTCAGAGCATAATGGTAAGTTTTTCAGTAACTTAGGGTCTCAGAGCATGATGGTGAGTTTTTCAGTAACTTAGGGTCTTAGAGCATAATGGTGAGTTTTCAGTAACTTAGGGTCTCAGAGCATAATGCAAAGTTTTTCAGTAATTTTGGGTCTACAGCATAACGGCAAGTTTTTCAGTAACTTAGGGTCTCAGAGCATAACGGCAAGTTTTTCAGTAACTTAGGGTCTCAGAGCATAATGGCAAGTTTTTCAGTAACTTAGGGTCTCAGAGCATAATGGTAAGTTTTTCAGTAACTTAGGGTCTCAGAGCATAATGTTGAGTTTTTCAGTAACATGGTCTCCAAGTGTAAGGGTCAAGCTTTCCAGGAACTTGGAGGCCACAAAGTGTAAGTGGTAAGTTTCAGTAATTCAGAAATCACAATATAATCAGTAAGTTTTTGCAGTAACGTTGTGTCTTCAACACGTTAAGGTGGTCAGCTTTTCAGTAACTTTGTGGTTTCAAAAAACTATGACATCAATTGACTATCCTGAGGACAGCGAGTCACATATACTATCACTGAAGTCCTAGTGGGTAACAGTGACTACCATTTGGATCCTGGCAAGTCACAGTGACCAACAATGAAGTCCTAGGGAGTAACAGTGACTACCACTTGGATCCTGGCAAGTCACAGTGACTAACAATGAAGTCCTAGGGAGTAACAGTGACTACCATTTGGATCCTGGCAAGTCACAGTGACTAACAATGAAGTCCTAGG